CGACCCGCAGCCCGCGTCGAGCCGCCGCCGCCAGCCGGGCTCGGCGCGGCTCCAGCCGCCGCCCGCTCCGCTCCGCTCCGGACGCGCCGCGCGCGGCCCCACGTTTTAGTTCCTTTCTCCCCCGAGCGCCCCTCTACACCCTCGCGACGCACATGGCCCCCGAGAAGAACACTTGTATTTGCAGCCTCTGCAGCTCTCGCGGCCACGGCGCCCTTTGTTGAGAGGTAGATTTTGATGAAATGGGGACGGGTTCCTGAAATCGGGAGCTGCTTGGGTCAAGTGGCTTCCCTCCTCTCTCGAAGAAAGGGCTTTGGAGGGGTTTAAACATCCAGAGAACGCCCCCATTTTATAGGGACGGGTTACGTGGGGGGCAGCGGTCCCGCCAAGGTGGATGTTAGACTGGGGAGAGGCCAAACAAAAATGTTATTAACTTAAGTTGGAGGGACACTTGTGTGAAATTGGATGGCTTGTAAGATGGCGGTTCCCAGTTGTTTCCAAGGTCTCCTGCATTTGTGTTTAAAATGGTAAAGTTTTCAAGGTGTTATGTGTTGGTAGCCTTGAATAAGTTATCTAAACATCACTTAGGACATGCTCACTGGAAAGTGGGCATTTCAAATTTGGAGCTTTTTTTGGAGTGATGATGGTGACTGGATGTTAGTCGTGCAGGTTTCCTTTCTTTCGAGCTTTCTTTTCCCTCTTTTTCTTTTCTTCCCCTCTTGGACACTACAGTTTTTTCTCTGAACCTCTACAATGGGAACCATGACTTAAGTCCACTACGTTTTATAGATTTTGCTAAATGTCAGCATAGGTCATATGGTAAAGAGATGCTTGGAAAAGAAGCACTAAAAAGTTGATTGAATGTGTTTACGCAGTCTTTTAGGTTTGACAGCGATATAGCATGATCTTTTTCCCAGAGATTTACAGTTAATAATTGGAAGTAAACAAGTAGAGAGACTTTGATCATTCCCAATTGCAATAAAAGGATTTAGTGGGCTTAGTGGTCACGGTTCAATATTTGAAAGAGAAGCATGCATTAACCCTTTCCCTTAAAGTAGGCAAAATTCTGGGCATATTTATCCAAATCCAAGTGTAGGTTGGGATTACCTTAAATGTTATGAGTAGTTCAACCTATATTTCATAGAAACGTTAATCTCCAAGTTTTGGAAACATATAAGCCACATTAAATATTTGAAACTTAAGGTTGCAAATTGTTGACAGTATATACTAACTTATGAGATTGTATTAACATTTGAGTTTTATTTTAAGCAGACTAATCAGAATACTGTAGAAGTTGATTTTATGAATATATAGATAGATAGATAGATAGATCCATCTCTCTCTCTCTCTGTGTGTGTGTGTGTGTGTGTGTGTGTGTGTGTGTGTATATATATATATATATATATATATATACTTGAGTTCATTTCCATACTTCTGCCCCAGAGTGCAAAGGTGTTTGAAATAGTCTACCTATTCAAGTTACACACTAGTGACAATATCTTTAAAGCCATATAAAAGTAATTATGTGCACGTGTATACACACACACATTTTTGTAAGAAAATTGAGCATTTCATTGTACTTGATAAATCCATTATTACTCTACCATCAAGTTCTTGGATGTGCATTAAGTGCTCAAATAGGCAAAATTCTCCCTAGGATCCAAGTTAACCCCTACTTCACTCATACTTGTATTAGACTGTGAGCCCCAAGTGGAGTTATGGGATTCATTTGCATTTCTTAGATTGTAATAGTCAAGCTGATTGTTAACAGAAGAACTTGCTTCTGTTTTCCTTCATTTTGACATTACTGGTGTTAGGCCTCCAACCAAACTGACAGCCCCAACTGAGTATGCTGTAATGGCAAGTTTTAACTATTGAGTATTTTTACTATTATATGTTTGGTGCATTTTTTGCATGGCTAACTGGCAGTTTCTGTGTTGGAACCTAGAAGGTTTCCATTTCTGAGGTGCAGATGTTTCTTTAACCTTATCAGCATGTCAAACATTTTAGAAGTTTTCATTAAGCTGTCAGTACTTTCAAATGGTATAAAAAGACAAAGAACTGATTTTTATATATGTAACAAAGTGATACTTACTAGCATTATAAATGGTAACAGGGTTGTAGCCAAATTCTTCTGAACTGAGGTAGAGGAGTTGAGGAGTTGTATGGATTAAGACTTAAGATGAATTTTGAAAGGATTTTGGTCAAGTACATGTGACTTAAATGTTCAAAGCCAACCAGTAGATAACCCCCCACTAAAGCTTGATTGTTCTCTGTACTCATATTTGTGTTTGTCTGGTGTTGGTGTTCTGTAAGGTAGAGAAGTAAAGGCAGCAATTTTTATTGAAGCCTTTAACCTAAACTTCATGATCGGTGGAGTTAAGGTGATAATGATTTCACAGGCAGACAGAAGTATTACCTTGCCAGCTATCTTTCTAGGAAAGGTCCTGTGGTGTCACAAGGAGACTTTTAAGAACCAAGAAGGCTTGTCTTTAATCACCAAGTACAATGGATTTAAATATTGCTACTCTTTAGGGACACTGCACCACCCACAACTCCTCTGCAACCCCACTTAGATTTATGTTGACAATTATTCTTCTAAACAAGTAACCCAGAGATAACTGAGGAGTCACACTTGAAGTTTTCTGGTTGAAGTTGCTGGTTGCCACTGTAGACACGTTCATGAAAGAGACTTTGTTTTGTTTTCACCGTTTTTTAGTACTCTAAAGCTTTTAGTTTCAGTCGTTGAGGTATGTTGATTGGTATTTCCCTCTTATGCATTAAAATTTCCTAAGAATTAAAACCTCAGACACATCTTCAAGTTTCACAGGCTTCTAGATTTCTACACAAGGCAGCTTTGAAAATGTACTTCAGACAGATCTAGAAGCTAAGTCTTATTTCAGGTTCTGAAATTAATGAAGTGGGGGTAAGAATTGTATTTTTCAAGAATATTACACGAAGTAATTGAATTCCCTGATAGTCCACTGGTTTGTTTTTCCTGACAGCTCCCCACCATGAGTCTTCATAACATATGATATCTATTGGGAATATCATTTCATCGTGTGGGGGTTTGTATGGAGGTTAGGCTGAGAAAATGACATTTGTTTTTCTCTCCTATGGTTTTTTCTGGGTTGACAAGGTGTTGATTCAGTGTTGGGAATGAGCTGGTCACATGGTTCTTTACATATTTGTCACTATCTTACCGATTAAAGTAGTTTTTCTTGCCTCCAGCATAGCTCAAATAAAACACAGGGCTTTGCTCCCTCCTTGTCTTCTTGTTAAACAGATTTCAGTTTTCAGCCTTTCCAAAACTCTGTATCGCTCATCTTAATATACAGGAGAAGTTCATATTAGAGAAGAAAGCTTTAAAGAGGTTCAGTTCAATAAACATCTCTGCAATTTGAGCCTTGACGGTTTCGGGCTAAGTGCACAGTTGGCAATTCTCAAAAGATCCCTTCGTGGAATTTTTGACCTAGTGATTGCTAACAGGGGAGACGGAAAGAGTCAAGATCTGAAAGCTCTTCGCACGTAGTCAACGTGGAAAGAGGCCCCCAACAGTGTGTGAAATGGCCGGGAGTGCGGATTGCATTTTCATTTACCACTCGCCAGCTCCCGAGTCCTCCAGGCTGCC